TGAGCCACACCTCATACTTGGTTTCAGGAAGCAGCCCCCTCCACTGAAACATCCTCAGCAACCGCCGCAACCACCCCTTCCGCCGATGCGGCGAAAATGAATGATGCCGAGGTAAAAAAAAATCATTACATCCTAGCTGTGGCTCACATTTCTCTTCAGACCACTGCCCCCGCCTCTCCTGCCGCCGTCGTTGTTGCCAAACCTCCCAGAGAATCTGAGGTGAGCCAGTTATCATATCCCGCGCACATCTCATGTTTGTTCCAGATCGTTAATCCTCTGTAAGTCAGACTACCTCACGCCTCCATTAGATATCTAATGTTTCTTTTCCAGGGCATCGTTCTCGAGTATCCCCGCACCCACGACGCGAGCGGAGTTTGTTCAGGGAAGCAATAAACCCGCCGCCAAACGTACGACTCTGTCCGCTCTCCCTCAGTCCCTCACATAATATCTCCCAGAGCGTAAAACTGACACTGCTCCGGGTCCTTCCAAGGTGAAGTATCTTCGTCCCAACCCTGCTTCGATAACTCCCAGGCAAGTCTACCACTTTTATTTCCACTTCGTTCAATGATATTCGGTGCAGAAACCTGTGCCTACTGGACTACATCCAAAATAACGGCAAGGTAACCAAGGAGATCTTCGATGCGCATTACACGAACCTATCGCAAAAGGAGAAGGAGGTGCGTTCGGCCACTTCGCCGCAACAATTTCCTTACGTTCCGCTTTCCTGGAATATAGCATTACAAGAAACAAGGTCAAGAGGCCGCTGGTGCTGCTCAGCAAGCCCTTGCTGCCCAGCGAACCACCGCAAAGTCAGGTAATGTCCCTCGTTGATTTGAAAGTCTCTTCCCGACTGATTTACTGTCCAGATACTACTGTTTAATTCGGAGCGCATGGTACGTTGTACTTCTTCATCCACTTCGTGTCAATGCTGATTGCATTTAATAGATAGAACTCTCTTGGCGAACGCGACTCGGTATGTTCCTCTTGCGACATCTAGTTCATGACATTGATTTCAGTACAGTGAAGCTAGCAAACTACGTGATTATTGCAACGGTGGTGACTCTTCCGAGGGGACGTGGCGAGGCGGGATGGGTGGGGGTAGCAAGGAGAGCAAGGAATGGCAGTACTGTAGTGTATAGTAGCCTGGCTCAATGTAGCTCGATACCGCTCGACATTGTATCAATGGCGCTCATTTTCCCTCATTTTTGATTGAGGCGCATCGAGCTATGTCCAGATTTGCGAGGCAGATCGAGGCGCTGCAAATTGCCTCGATCTGCCTCTGTTTGGCTCGATCTCCTTCGCTGGGATTCTCACTGGGATTCATCGCCCTAATTGAAGCCGACAGCTCAACCTTTGCTGCTTTTTTTTCATTTCGCTTGAATGCTCCGCACATCGCATACTATTCAAAGTCCCCATGGTTTCAACCGCTATTTTTTTTACTAGCATGTGCAGCTGTTCGCCGTTCACGGCGGGGACGGCTCCATGACGTAGAAGTGAGTTTTTGCGTTTCATCTTTCATTCAAAGCCTCCACCGGAACGGCTGAAACTCACAAGAATCAACTTCCGCTTCGCATGTGAAAGGGTTTAAGCTTCGGTTGCGTACATTCAGGAGGCAATTCAATCTTCGAGTTCCCTCAGATACTGCACAGTCGATCTAAGCTGCGGTAATTGTACCCTCCAGAGCTCTCTTCACGCCGATTGATAACGGCTCCATATCGTCCTCCTTCAAACCAACAACCTCATTGTCGTTCTTGGCGTACAGCGTCCCGCCCTCGCCCCATATTCTCCGCAGCGTCACCCCAGTGGCCTGTGGGTTTCCCTCGACCCAGCTCTTGGCCTCCAGCTCTTTGATGGCATCGAGCGGGGTCTTTGTGACCTTCCATTTCCCTCCAGTCTGTTTCTCATATTCTGCGACGACTTCGTTCGGCGTCACGATGAACGACTGGACCTTGAGTGCTTTGTCGAATGCTGCCGCCGGGTTCCTGAGGGAAGCCACAACAGACTTGCCCACACTGAATATTACTTAGCTTTGCACAAAACACAGGGGCGAATTAGAAATAAGGAATACTCACTCCCACATCGTGCAGAATCCAACTTTGCCGTCGCCGTCGCCGATAACATACACTTCCTTCTTGTCATTCACAAACCCGCCCGCATCCTCCAAGCCCGGGATAGTATTCACCCACATATCGAAGTATGGCCCAGTGACCACGTATGTGACCTTGAGCCTCTTTACCTGGTCGCGCACGAAGGCGCGGACCTTCAGCTTTAGCTGGTGCGGCTTCTCGTCCGGGCTCTTGTCGTTATGCTCGATATCCGTGCCGTACTCGGACGGGAAGAACCACTTGATGGAGGGGGTTTCCTCAGCGAGCCGGATGAGCTCGATCTGGTGCTGCAGCACATTGCGGCCGACGCAAGAGATGACCGTGTCAGCCCCTTGGTACGCAGACAATACGTCGTCCGCGTTGGTGACATCGCCTGTCACCACCGACAGTCCCTCGGCTTTCCACTTCGAGAGCAGCTCCGTCTTGGTGCTCGCTGTGTTGGGCGACGTGAACAGCAGCACCTCGAATGCAGGCTTTGCACGCAGGATCGATACGGTGATGAACTGCCCGATGGTTCCAGTGCCGCCGAAGATGAGAATCTTGGAGGGTGCAAAGTCCATGTCCAGTGGAGAAAGCAAGGTTATCGCCCGGCCGGATTTGGCCGCAGCGATCAAATGCTAGATCGGAATCATCGGACATCCGCACCTCCGCTTAGCTTCTCCAAGAGCACTCCTGACTTTCCGCCATAACGTGGCAACCCAAAACCGGTAATTTGATGGCGGCAAGACGGCAGCATTTGATAGCGGCAAGTCGGCAACTTGTCCGTTGTCTCGCTGGCGCTCGCGGCGGAAGTTTCCGAAAGGATCACATGATTTTTCATGTGACTTTCTGTCAAGTGGCTGTGAAACTGTCTCTTAGTATAAAGGATATTTTTATTTATCGTTTTTCTTCCTCTTACATGTAAATTCTCTTGCAATTGGCGTCATTTCCTTCCATTTATTTCGTTCTGATTTTGTTCCACTGCGGGCTCAGACGACGATACGATTTAATTAAAGGTGTGTGGCTCCATTACAAATGCTGGCACTTGACGTCCGAGTCACTGCAACACAGAAAGCACACCCCGACCCATTCCATTACAATAGCTTTTGTGATTTTTTAAATTATTATTGCTCAAAGGAGTCAAAGCCATCGGCCACCACATCTCTTCCAACCTTAAACAAAAACAACATTCAGAAGAAGACCTGTTAGCGCGGTCGGAGGCGTGCTCGTAGGATTTAGTAGCTGTGTCACAGAATTGTGCGGGCGGCCCTGGTTTGAACCTGGGACAGGTTATTGTTGAGGGCAAACTTGTATTTTTTTTTTGCTTCCTCCGGGTCTTTTTTTTGTGTTGATTCACTTTTTATGTTCTTCTTGTATCGATTCATGCCTTTTCTTATTCTTATTTCAATCCTGATTTCGTTTTGTTCCACCGTGGGCTCAGGCGAGGGTACATACAATTTAAAACCGGGCCCGGGATTTTGAGTACGTCGGTTCGAACCCGGGACAGGTTATAGCCTTTCACCGACAGGATTTTTTATTTCTTTATTCGTTTATTTATTTCTTTGTGTCGACTCCTTAAGTTCTTATTTGATTCAGATTTTTGTTCCAACGCTATGACGTTCCCGATGTTGCAAAAATCAAATCCGCACGCGCGCGAGTTTTTTTTCTTCTTTTGGGACAAATTGTAATACTGGCACTGGTAGACTACTGGGGTCCTATAGAGATATCTACCGCTTCAGTAGACCCCTGTGCGAACGTAAAGAGACAAAGAAACGTGTTTGATCATATTTTAGTGACAGATCAACCGTTAGCCGAGCTTGCCAGAGCTGGCAAACTCAAGGGTCGACATGGTGGCAGTTGCTGGCCCATGTTGCATTGTCACCTCAATCTACTCGCCGTCGGTATAATCCCCATGCATGTGTTGCTGCCGCGGGTCCGACGTTGCAAAAATAAAACTGCGTGCGCGCGAACTCTGCGCGAACTTTTTTGTGTCAACCTCAAATATATCTGCCTATTGGGTGCGTAATAGGTTGTGAGTATCTCTAGATACATTTCTGGCTCAAACGGAGGCCTGGATTGCTTCCTGAAGCTTGCCGAAGAATTGATCGCTTTTTTGATGCGATCAAATTTGAGTTGAAGGGGTCTTTTCCATTTGCCTCCATGCCATTGCAATTGAAGAAGTTGCAGGACTCGTGGTTGTCAACTTGCCTTGCTTAATCCTCCAAGGCCTCCACATTTAAGTCTCAGAGGCAAGTTGACCCCTTCAACTCAAATTTGATCGCATCAAAAAAAGCGATCAATTCTTCGGCAGGCTTCCAGAAGCAATCCAGGCCTCCGTTTGAGCCAGAATGTATCTAGAGATACTCACAACCTATTACGCACCCAATAGGCAGATATATTTGAGGTTGACAAAAAAAACTTCGCGCAGAGTTCACGCGCACGCAGTTTTATTTTTGCAACGTCGGACCCGCAGCAGCAAGATATGCATGGGGATGATACCGATGGCGAGTAGATTGAGGTGACAATGCAACATGGGCCAGCAACTGCCACCGTGTCGACCCTTGAGTTTGCCAGCTCTGGCAAACTCGGCTAACGGTTGATCTGTCACTAAAATATGATCAAACACGTTTCTTTGTCTCTCTACGTTCGCACAGGGGTCTACTGAAGCAGTAGATATCTCTATAGGGCCCCAGTAGTCTACCAGTGCCGGTATTACAATTTGTCCCCCCCCAAAAAAAAAACTCGCGCACGCGCGGATTTGATTTTTGCAACATCGGGAACGTCATACAACGCGGGCTGAGATGACACGATTTAATAGCGGACGCCATTGCATTCCAATTTTTTTTTATAGATTTACTTAGATTGGGCTCCAAGTCTTCCGCGCGACTACTTCCAACCGAAATGACAAAAAGGGAAGACCTGTTAGCGCAGTCGGAAGCACGCCCGTGTGATAGAATCGACGTTTCTCTCAGCTTGTGCGGGAAGCCCCGGTTCGAACCCGGGACAGGTCATTATTATTTAGTCTCCACCTTTTTCCTTTTTTTCCTTTTTTGGTGTCGTTTCGATTTTGCTTCTCCTTCTCTTTGTCGCCTCTTCTCTTATATTTTATTTCGATTTCACTTTGTTATCACGAGAGCGACTGGAAGTTTCTAGTCGCTTAATCGCCAACGCTAGCACACGTACACACCGCCCACCCCGACGGCATTTCTTTCCATTCCTTTACAACAACAGTTATAATACACTATTAGGCACTCTCGTCCCGAGGCTATTAAGCACGCCGTCCCCGCTATTAATAATAATCAAAACCGGTATTAGAGTACCCACACCGATACCCCGGTTGCAGGCATATCCGTACTCCCCGCCCCCCGTACTCCCCCCAGCGTGAAGGCGCTTCGTCCCGCGGCCACGCGGCCATTCATAAGCACGTCGTGATCAACCCGCTCAGCAGTACCTGGTATCCGATGTAAACTTTCGCCTCTGATGTCTGTTCGCAAATACCCGATAATCCTGGTCCCAAATCACTGAATGGAGCTTCTGGCTCCACACCGCAGAAAAATGCCTAGGGTGAGGCCGCCAGCGTAGAAATACCACTCCTAGCGGGGAAAATAGCGGAAACTTAGTATTTAACTTAATCTAAAAAAATCTACATGAAAATTGTATCTGTGAATTGCTTTCAATAAGACCATTGACCAAAGACGTAAGACGGAGGATCCAAAACAAAGACGTCCCAAGATGCCGCTCCAAAGACCAAAGACGGTTTTCTAAGACAAAGATGACAAAGATGACAAAAGACATCACTGAAAGACGTAAGATACCAAAGACAAACGTGTAGTTTTACTGATGTTTCGCCTAGCAGTGCTTCGAGCTTGCGCGTCGAGCGCATGAGGCGGGTGCGCTGTGTCTGCCGCAGGGCGTGTGTCGTAGGGGGCATATCCATTTTAAACAACGAAGCTCGTCAAAGGGTGGTGGTGGTGTACAGAAATGAAAGAAAGAGGATGGATAGATGGGGACCCACTCATTGAGAGTAAAAGGGAGACGGAGAACATCGGCAATTACATCAATCCCCATAAGGAACAACGCCCGGAAGAAAAACAATGCTGCCGTCTTCTTCTCTTGTTTCTTATGAGGAAGAAGGGCCCTTGCACAATACACTCCGACAGACGCCACAGCACCTTGCGGGAACGTCTGTGTCTTGTCTGCCTCCCAGCCGGATCTATTCTTTCGTGATCTCATCTCATGACGTTGGACGTTGCGCACTCTTACTAGCTCCTACCAGTGTACCACACCACTCTTTCCTCAAAAACCCGAAAAACCATGCAAAGATCCTCCTAGTCCATCTTCAAGAACGGTGCTGTTGGGCATTACATAGGATCTAGAATTCCTTCTGCATCTTCCCGCCCAAGTGCTCCCCGTCCTCTCCTTCTGAATTAAAAATGAAACGGCGGGGGAATAAAAACAAGACTATGACGATATATAACCCATCCCAGAGTCGAACTGAGGTCTCCCGCATATGTAACTTCTGCCAAGACATCAAAGTTTACATAAAAATGAAACGACCCCCAAAAAAAATTTTGCTCAGGCAATCAACGAATGAATGACCTGTCCCAGAATCGAATGGGTGCCTCCTTCGACCAAATATGAGGTTTGTTGCAGGTGTGCCAACAGGTCTGCCTGGTATGTGAATTGAGCTATGATATCTAGTGGACGAGATGAAATGATCTATTTACACTCGCGACAAAAAAAAACACAACATGTGGTTCGAAGCATGACCCATCCCAGAGTCGTCCCACATAACTTCACTGGGAACAATCAGTTATTGTGGCATCTGTACCAACAGGATCTTCCTGGTATCTTAATTGACCCCGAATATAGGCTGGACTTTGAATTCAAAATAAAAATGACCCAGAAAAAAAAATGACTTCCAGACAACCCATCCCAGATACATACATAATCTGCGGTGCGAACGAGGGGGCAGTTGGTTGAGATCCTGAGTTGTTTTGTTTTTAGGTCGAGGGTTGCCGCGCGATGTTTTGAGACGTTGAACCTCTCGGACCACGCTGCAGCAATGAATGAAAGTATTCCAACATCGAAATATGTTACTCACCTTGTACACTAGAACGAAAGGCGAATGAGTGCAATAAACGTCGGTGATGATACATACCTGTTGAGACTCGAGTCTACGCGACTTCAGCATGTCGCTTGATGCCTGAGTTGACGCGACTCAGTACAGAGAAATTGGAACGATGAGGAAGGATACGTACCTTGGAATCAGGAGAAAGGCAAGGTAGTAATTCCAACGAAGCTTGAACCCAATTTGTACACCAGCATAGTTTCAATCAGTCAGTCCGACTTGAAAAAGAGCGTAAATAAAACTACTTGAGGACCCCGCTCGCGTTTAAGCGGGCATAGTTTCAACATACACATCTGAATAAAGTAGTCAGTAAGCAACGAAATAAATTGAGTACGATAAGAAAGCTTACCTTGAATTCCAACTACAGAATCTCGGCGCATTTAGGAGTAGTGTGTACAAAGATCTGAATAAAAAAATTTCAGTGGGTAACCAAATAAAGACTAGAAACTCAACGAGACTTTCGGCGTGTTGAAGTACTTGTGAGCGCGCCAAAGTCGTACTTGCAGAGATCCGAATAGAAATGGTTGAACGGTCAGTGAAAGTAACTGTTTAAAGAATTACATTAGAACGGTGTGGCTTGGAATGGAAGGGTACTGACTTTTCTCCAGCGTGCAAGATAGCGAGTCAATGAAGGTAGGTTCCTGATCGACCTGAAATAATATCACATTAGTGGATGATTTGAATGGGAAAAAATGCTGACCTCGCTCCACTCACTAAAGCAACTAGTCATAGTTTCCGCTTGAACGACTGGGCTTAGAAAAAAATGTTTCAGAATGGGGTGCAACTTTGAATACAATTACTGACCTGTTTACTCACCTGGTTCATGGAGCGCAACGGCGCCGGGGACATGAAAAAATAGTGATTACGACGGCGTTTAGCGGCGTTCGTTTTTTGGAACTCCCGCGACTCGCCACTTCTGAATTACCATGCGCACGTACTCACGCCTCAACCCCCCGGGCATTAGCGCCGCAGAGTGCTGCGTATTTTTTCTTCGAACTTTCTGGACGTCCTGCGACTAAGGCCCGCGAGTCTTTCATCATTTATCCTATCCTAATCCCTACTGATGAGTTGTATTGCTGCAGCTGCCTGTGGCGCACATTCTGCGGTGAAGAGTACATAGTGGTAAGATAATTCACTCACTCTATGGTATCATAGTCCCAGGGGTGTCTTGTAGGTGAAGTGGGGGCCCACCAGGAGAGCTGGGAGGCACACTGCATGCCCACTCAGGATTAACATATAAGAGGCGGGGGGCTCTTGAGGGCTTCTGGCGCTGTTTGTAGGTGAGTGGAGGGATGTAGTAGATATCAGAGCCATTTAGATCGCGTTTAACTATCATTGCGGGGCTTGGGAGAGTCCAGAAGGGGTGTATAAGCATACAGCCCCTAACTCACAAAAGTCCTTTTTACGCATTGGGCTCTAACGTAATAAAGAATCGAAAAACATCACATACCTTAGAATCCTGAACTCTGAATAACTGCCGGTTCAGATTTGTGGAATGGACAACTTTGTCCTGAGGTCGTCGAAAATTTGGCTAAAACAATTTTATTATTCTCGGCAATTCCCGACCGCACTCGGTTGCGGTTATAAATTACAAGACATGCCTCTGCTTCGCTCCGGCAAATGGGGAACTAGATAAATTAAGGACTGAAAGTAGATATCGAATTACGGGAGAGGTAAGAGGGAATAACATGATGAGATAAAATAAGGTAGCGCATTGAGGAGAACCCAATTGGAGGGGTGTGCTTGAAACGACATTTTCAGGTACAGGGGGGAAACCCAGAGGAAGCTCTCATATCGGGAATATGTCGGGAAAGTCAGAGACACTGAAGGGAGATGCAGGATCGGCACGGTTGTTCATAACCCAGAGAAGATACCATTAGCCACAGAGACACGCCAAGCCATGACACGCAATATCAATTAATCCCAGAATAAGTTCCCAGATATTTCTGTATTTTGAGGGACCGTCTTCGTTAAAGGAGCATCAGTTAAAGGAAAGAGCTTTATTACAGCTGAATATTCAGATGGGGGGCCCAGGCAGAACGGTATGAGGACCCGAGGCTTGCATTCAACACGAGGACCGCTAGAGCAGGCTATTGGATATCCGAGAATGATAGCATGAGACGGCAGGCAAGAGCAGAGTGAATAAAGCAAGGGTGCAGAAAGCAAACCGGAATGTTGGCTTTTATCCGTTTAAAGGACGTACATGGCCGCAGCATGACTACTGCGGCCAACGTGTCATCCAAGAACTTCTTCCTGAGCTGTGCGCTCACGCGACTTGGGTCCTTGCTTCCACTGGCCCAATTCGTGCTGTTTGCACAGCTGCGGTGACTCGGCAAGTTACGGCGCATCGGCAATGGCGGGTCCAGTGGGAACAAACCGACTGTATAAGAATGATGTGCAGCCTCGAGGCATGCGACGGCAATGCTTATTGAGTCTGCGCATTGGTCATTTGACGTTGAGGAAGGAGCAGGAAGAGGGAGAAAGAGAAAAGGGGATAATCTCGATGGAGATAAAACCAAACAGATGCAAAGAATCGGCGAGCATTTGCTTAAAGAACGGTTAATTCCAGTCGCTATTTTAATCACGGATTGATCGACTGTCATCAATCTTAGGGGAAAATCGCTACTGGCCCGAGTCTACTAATTAGTCAATCATTTCACTTTGTTCAAAGCCCTAGATTCGAGGTCAATCAACACCAGAAGGACCTCTTAGGGCAGATGGTAGCCAGCCCGTCAGAAATTCCATATCACAAAAGTAATCATCGTCAGTGTTGAGTCAGTATTATTCAACAGTGGCTTTTTGCTTTCCTGCCCCCCTTTCTGACAAGAGCCCCCTCTAGGCCTAATAAGGTCTAAAATGCCTCGTATAGACTTCCAAGGT